AGTTGGTCAATAATAAAACAAAAATTTTTTTTTTAACTCAAAAACTTTGTAAGGTATTTTAAAATAAAATATAAAATCGAGAATTTTAACACGAAAATAGCATATTTTTGAATACTGTAGCCGTTTTCACTATGAAGACAAAATAAAGTCCGACATTTTTTTTTTCATAATAAAGTATATAAAATAAGCTTTAATTTAAGATATGTATAAAAGTATAATAAAAATTGATCACTTGTGGCTAATTAATTAAGTAAAAGTGTTAGTATTTCCGGAACACTTTCAAAAGTTAATTTTTTTTGAAAAAGTTGTCATTTTGAAAGATTCAGATTTATAAAAAAATGTACAAAATAATAGGTAAATACCTCATGTATCTATAAAAAAAAATTCTATTGATCCATATCAAATTAGTGATTTTTAGGTTTGTAATTTTTTTGGAGATTTCCCCCATTTACGAGAAACGAGGGAATTTTTTTCAATTTTTGAGGGTAATGTCTTCGACTACATACGATTTGTAATCTTTTGATATATCGTTAATAGAAATCGGTTCGGTAAGAACTGAGAAAAATAGGTAACAATCACAAAAAAAAAATGATAATAATAATTAAAAATAAACACATCATAGTAAAATTAATACCTTTACAGCTTCGCATTGTTAGGGGTTAGTTTAATAGTTGAGGATCTTGGTCAAAACCAAGAATCGGAAGCTACCCGACGTCTGCTCAAATATCGTCCCTATCTCCTTAAATGAGTTTTAATTGCCTGAAGGAGACACAGGCAATCGTGTACCTTAGTTACAGGGGATAGATTATTAAATAAAATTAGACTATTGTTTTATGTCAACGACAAAGTTAAATTATATTTTAGATGTTCTGTAAATATAAGTTATATGTAATGTACAATACGTCTGACCTGAATCCTAGTACAGTTGGTTAGCAGGTATATCCAAGTGAGACGGAGTTGGTTGGCTATGATGATAATTGGCGATAGACGGGTCGTTGAATAAAACAAGTTAAGTTATAAATAATATAAATAAGACGTAAGTAATAATATTGAAAACTATGTCTATAACGGCCACTCAAACACAACTGCCCTTTGTTAGTTCGACGTCAGTAGCTCCGGGCTACAGACGAGTAGAATTGTCACATCAGCATCTCCCTCTATGCTAATTAATATGTATTACGAATTAAATAAATAGAAATAAAACGTGTGTAATATAAGTGGTAAGAACATAGTAATAAATGTTCTTACAGCATCAAAGCTAATATTATAAAATATCAAATAAAATAAAATAATTTAAATTGAAATCGGTTTATTATAATAGAGGTTATTGTGTGCACGTCGTCATTATTGAGATGCGCATTTACTAAATGGAATCCAAATAAAAACTAGTGTATGGACTTTGTTACATTTCTCAAAAAGTTAAAGCAATATAAAGTTAAAACTGTAAAATATAAAATCGAGAATTTTAACACGAAAATAGCATATTTTTAAATATTGTAGCCATTTTCATTATGAAGACAAAATAAAGTCCGTAATTTTTTTTTTTTTATAATAAAGTATATTACATCAGCTTTAATTAATGATATGTATAAAAATGTCAGTATTTCCGGAACATTCTCAAAAGTTAATTTGAAAAAGTTGCGATTTTGAAACCTTCGCCGTGAGCAGGTAAAGGGTCAAATGTTCACAAAAATATATCAAATATAAAATACCTAAGGTATTGATAAAAAAAAAAATTATATTGATTAGGTCATTTTTAAAAGAATTATAGCAGTTTGAAGTAAAAAAATTGAAAAAATGTCGTGAATTAGGCATTTTTAAATTTGTTATTTTTTGGATATTTTCTCTATTTACGGGGAACGAAGAAAATTTTTTCAATTTTTAAGGGTAATTTCATGGATTAGATATGGTTTGTGATCTTTTGACGTATTGTTCATCAAAATCGGTCCAGTGAGAGCTGAGATTAAGTGGTAACAGTCAAAAAAAAAAAAAATACATAGTAAAGTTAATACTTTCTCAGCTTCACATCGAAGCTAAAAGTCAAAGCTTACACGAATCCTACTAGAAAATATACCATATAATTACGTTAATTATGATATCCGCGCTACCAATTTTCGACTTGAAATTAAAAAATTTGTTTTCTACAGTTAAAATCAAACTATTTTGCTATATTTATCATAATATTTCACCAAAAATTAAATAACAAGGAGTGTTTTTCGGGGTATTTTTGGTCAAAATATCTAAAACACGTTAAGCGACCAGTAAAACTTTTTTTAAAAATCTGAAATATTCACAAAATGTTTTTTTTTTTAATGTATACAGTTTTTTATGATATTACTATCACAGTCACGGACTGTTTATTACCAATTATGACTATCAATAGATATACTTTTTGTATTGTCAGTTAGTGTATTTATAAACTCATAACAATGTGCCTTACTACAATTGATAATAACAATGCTGTGTACCTGCTAATATCGATGTCATAAAAAATCAATTAGCTACCTGTATTTGTAATCCCTTGTGGATTATACCTATATATTAACTCAAAAATTTGAAACTTTAAATGTTTATATCTAATAAACAAATTAAGTTTTATTAAAAATTCAAATGCCATTTATTATTGAATTAAAAACTCAAACATTTTATTAAATTAAAAATATGTGTTACCATTTAAAAAAACAAAGTTGACACCCTTACCAGGCATAAGGGATGAACTTAAAAAGTATTACATAGTTAATAATTCAAGAATAATGTGTAACTAAAGATAATAATAAAAAAAATTTTTAAATTATTATTATTCTGTAAGTAATTGAGTGGGTTATGATAAAAAAATCACTCTGTATAATAAACTTACAATGGTTCTCATTAAAATTTCGAAGATCGACTCTTTTTAATCCACCCTAGTGCACAGGAACGCATAGCTCGAGGGAGTTTAGGCAACAACAAGGTGTGCAAGATCAATAAAAATATGGCGAACTATGGCCAATCATAGCGCACACAAGCGGAGGCGTTTGCTGTATATACGAAAGAAAAAGCACAATATTATCCGTTGCGGATGAAGACTTTTGAATATTGAGACGTATGTACTGTATACGAAAAAAAACAGCAGCTGAGAACAGGACAGCTGAACAAGACGTGAACACGTTCGAACCGAGTGGCACAGGAGGCGTGAGGACGGGTTCGACATTGCCACACTGCACCCAACATCGAGTGCATATCATCCGTTGGAGGTGCACATGAATGCGGCACAAAATGTCGTGCGAGTTGTTCGCGTGCGTCCGTGTGGAGACGTAGTTCGTATTCATACACCGGTGGTGGTATTGTGGACGACACGCCTGTGGTCTGACTATTAAGTCGGTTAAGATTACGCGTTTCTCGATCTCTGACAGACGTTGTCGTAGGGTCGCGTTATCTCAGGTGGTGTGGCCCGAAAGTAACGCCGTGACTCGGTTCCGACAGACGCGAGAAATTAGTACATTCCGTTTGTCTGGTTCTCGCGTCGTTATTGCGGCGCTGGACGGGTTCAGTGTGTTGTTCCAGTTCGTGTCACGCGCTTCCATTCTTGCATTAAGGGACGTCTCGCGTATATTTTGTCTTAACGCGCCCATCTCCTCTGTTGCGTGGCCAATTGAGGGTACGGTATTGATGCCGTCTTCGTACACTGACTGTGGTTGACCGATAGTGCGCCCGGGTACTTAGGTTATCTCAGTCAGAGAGACGGAGCCAGAATTATTGAGTGTCATGTTAACCGGTTTGTAGACGGTCCGGCTGTTTGGCGGTATGCGGCCGCGTTTCCGTCAGATTCGTTTTCGGCCAGTTCATTATTGAGTGATGAGCGTTCTGGTAATATCGCTGTGGACTGGTCCACACAATGTAACACTTACGTGCCGAGCACAATAAATGAAAATTGTCGGTTATACTGCACTGTAAAGCCGTCGAGCCGTTTATTCAGCACCATAATAACAATACCAATGACAATAATAATTATTTTCATTGGTATTATTATACTGAATTATTCAGTACTGTAGACCGGATGTAAAATATGTGCTGGTTTCATCGAGATGACTGTTTTACATATTATTGAGCCGTGTATTCGACGCTGGCCATTTGTTGGACTTTAAACCACGACAATAACGTGTTTGTGTAACGGTCCGGCTGACAGTGAAACGGTGGCTGAGAAGAAGATGACACGACCGCGGGGTGTCACACGAAAGAACACCGTGGCCGTGTCATTCATTAAAGTTAAGACACTCCTTTTCTCGGAAACTATTCAAAATTTTAAATTTTTGTAAAGAAAAATATTGTTTAAAAACTATACTATAATATGTAGTTCAAAAATTTATTTTTCATCGCTTCAGGGATAAAGAAATCACAACATTAACTTTTTTAAATTGGGAACTCCTATTAGTTTCGATGCGAAGCTGAGAAGGTATTGGTTTTACTATGATGTGTTTTTTTTTTTTTGTGTCTGTTACCATTTTTTCTCAGCTCTCACCGAACGGATTTCTTTCAACGATACGTCAAAAGATCACAAATCGTATCTAGTCGAAGACATTACCCTTAAAAATTGAAAAAAATTCCCTCGTTCCCCGTAAATGGGGGAAACCTCCAAAAAAATTACAAATTTAAAAATCGCTAATTTTCAAAATTTTTCAATTTATTTTACTAAAATATGCCGTAACTTTTTCAAAAATGAACGTATCAATATAATTTTTTTTTTATATAGATGGTTGATGTCTTTACCTATCATTTGATATATTTTTTTTGTAAATTTGACCCTTTATCTGCCCACAGGGGGGAATTTAAAAAGACAACTTTTTCACAAAAAATTAACTTTTTCAACTTAACTTTTGAAAATGTTCCGGAAGGTCTGACACTTTTATATATTATCTTAAATTAAAGCTAATGTAATATACTTTAATTTGAAAAAAAAAATTTGACCTCTGGACTTGTCTTCATGGTGAAAATAGCTATCAAATTCTATTTTTTTGTGAAAATTCTCGATTTTATAATTTACATTTTTTACTTTAAAGTGCTATAACTTTTTAAAAAATGTATGGATCAATACAATTTTTTCATGAGAAGTAGTATTTATATACATCTTTCATTGGATATACTTTTTTTTTAAATCAGACTATTTCCCTATATATGGGGGGGCTTCAAATATAAAAAATGCATATAGAAAGTAGAACTTTTTCAACTTAACTTTTGAAAGTGTTCCGGAAGGTCTGACACTTTTATATATATCTTAAATTAAAGCTAATGTAATATACTTTAATTTGAAAAAAAAAAATTTGACCTCTGGACTTGTCTTCATGGTGAAAACGGCTACCGAATGCTATTTTTGTGTGAAAATTCTCGATTTTATAATTTACATTTTTTACTTTAAAGTGCTATAACTTTTTAAAAAATGTATGGATCAATACAATTTTTCATGAGAAGTAGTATTTATATACATCTTTCATTGAATATACTTTTTTTTTAAATCAGACTATTTCCCTATATATGAGGGGGCTTCAAATATAAAAAATGCATATAAAAAGTAGAACTTTTTCAACTTAACTTTTGAAAGTGTTCCGGAAGGTCTGACACTTTTATATATACCTTAAATTGAAGCTTATGTAATATACTTTAATTTGAAAAAAAAAAATTTGACCTCTGGACTTGTCTTCGTGGTAAAAGTTTACATCAAAGTTAATAAAAAAATACGATTTTGGTAAAATAATTTTTTTTAATATTTTTAACTTAATAATGCTCTAACCTTTTCCAAAATGAACATATCAATATAAATTTTTTTTATATAGATGCTTGATGTTTTTCCTTTTTATTTGGTATATTTTTTTTGTAAATCTGACACTTAACCTGCCCACAGGGGGGAATTTAAAATGACAACTTTTTCACAATAAATTTACTTTTTCAACATAACTTTAGAAAATGTTCCGGAAGGTCTGACACTTTTATATATATCTTAAATTGAAGCTTATGTAATATACTTTAATTTGAAAAAAAAATTTGACCTCTGAACTTGTCTTCATGGTGAAAACGGCTACCGAATGCTATTTTTGTGTGAAAGTTTTCGATTTTATTATTTATATTACATTTAACTTTATAATGCTATAACTTATTGAAAAGTTTATGGATCCACACAATTTTTTTATGAGAAATAATATTTTTTAATAAACCCTTTTTCATTCGACATACTTTATCTTAATCGAGATATTAATAAGGAACCAGCAGATCAAGTAGCTTTTGGAATAAAACACCAATTTTTTTAAAATTAAACACTATCTAAAGATTTGCATCGAAGCGTTTATTTTTTATAGTGATTTTAATCACTATCAGATATCATTATACTTGATCCAACTATGCCACGTCACCACTGTGCCGCGACCCCCCTGTGCTGGGTTTTTTTAATTCTGCCACTATTCTTGTTGTTGAACAATAATTTCTTTATTATGTATTTCTGTGGCCACTTAACCATAGAAGTTTGATTATAAGCTATAATTAATATGAAACATAATTTCACTAAACATTACAAATCAAGCATAAATTTATGTAAGCCAATATAAATACGTATAAAAAAATGTGTTATAGAACAAATATTTTTATTGAAGTTTTACTATATTTTATAAACTATAAATAGAAGTTATTGCGAGCTTAGTGTTATCCAAATTCTCTGATTGTTATCATAAGTTAATATATTAGATTTATCTCCTTTATAATCATTGGCAACGTTTTCTCTCATTTCTGAAACGAAATAAAATAATATTTTTAATATCAATACACAAAGGCAAAATTAGATATGTTTTAATAAATAATGTAGGAGTTATCCGAAATAAGGAGGTAAACATAAGGATTATATGATNTAGGAGTTATCCGAAATAAGGAGGTGAACATAAGGATTATATGGTCCATTAGAACAATGTTTTTAATATTTTAAAATTGTATGATGTATCAAGTACTCTAATAAAAATATTTTTTTTCCTAAATTCATTTTTTACTATAAAAATACTAAATTCGCCAAGTAATTACGATAAAAAATCATTCTATTTTAGTCGTAGTTTCTGTTGTAATAGATTTAGAACACACTTTATGGATTAGTCATACATTGTAATAAAAACACTTACAAGTGGTCTTTTGGTCGGCTTGTAACAACAAAGTTGTTTGACACTTGCATAACGACTAGCTATGGTAGCAAGGGTCGCCACCACCTAGGCAAGGTGTCACACCTATCAGATATGATTACTGGACCATAGGTGGAATTTTTAATTTTAAGTTAATTAATAGTTTAATTTAAGTTATTATGTCTTTATATGTATAAATGATTATAATACCTCGTGGTTTATTAACCACAACTATGACAATTGAAGTTGTATGTGGTGAATATGTAAAACATACCGTAGCCTGTGTCTAGATTAAGGAACAGGGATAAAATACACGCGTGTACTTAAGTTACTCGCGCAATAAAATAAATATTACAGTTAAAATTGGTAAGGAAATTAAATTTCATTGTTGAAAAAGAAAATTAAGTTAAACATGTACAAAAATACNTCGCACAATAAAATAAATATTACAGTTAAAATTGATAAGGAAATTTAATTTGATTGTTGAAAAAGAATTAAGTTAAACATGTACAAACATACGAATGTATCAAAAACCATGTCTACAAATAAAGGCAACAAAAATAAAATAAAATATTTAAACAAAAAAAACAAATAATATTACAAACATCACGGACAGTATTGGAATACATTCGTTAATGTTAATTGAAAATTAATGAAAAAACACCAGGAGCGGTCTGGACACTTGCTCCTTAGCGTTAACTAGAGGAAAAGGGAAACATGTGCTTTCCACACATAAACAAAATGAAGTTAATTTATAAAAATAAAAATGAAATAAAATAATTAATAAAATATAGCTCATTACATAAATATAATTATAAGAGAAAAAGATACCCGGTCTCCGAAGAGACCCATCCGATGGTCTGGATGCTTCGCCGAAATGACCTGGCCGTTCGCCATTGGCAGCTCTACTCCATCATTGAAAATAAAATGACAATTAAACAATAAACGTGTGCACTCCAGCACGGTCAATGACAGAAGAAAAATAAAGACGAGCCAACACCGATCTAACGGCAATTTCAAATCGATAACGTCGGGCGCTCATTATACGAAAAATATGGCACAAAACCCCCACGCTTTTTTTCACAATAATACTAGGATTTTTCGTTCATTATTGTTTTAAGCTTACTTTAAAAATTATTTTTAACTTTTTAGTTCGATGAGCTTTAAAAGCGTGTTTTTCAGTTTTTTTTAACCATATTTATTTTTTACTTTTTAGTTTTTTATGGCATCGCTGTTACAATCACGGAGTGTTTATTGTCAATTATCACTATCAATAGATATAATTTCTGTATTGCCAGTTAATGTGTTTTTAAACTCACAACAGTGTGTCATATTACCATTCATAATAAAAGCTATATACCTGCGAATATCGCCATAAAAAACCAATTAGCTACCTGTATTTGGAATCCCTTATGTATTATACATGTATATTAACTCAGAAAAATACTTATTTAAAACATTAATTTAAAGGGCATAGAGAATAAACATAAATTTTGATCATAGGAATTGTTGATAAATATTATAGATATTTTTATATATTTAAAAAAGTTTTGATGATTACTTTGAAAACTAAATATATCTTCTTCATCTGTATAGTTGTTGAGTAGCTCATTACATAACACTTCAGAATTTGTATCTGGAAACAATGAATTACAATGAAAAAATTCTTGTGCTAAATCTTTTGAAACGTTTAAGGGACTTCCTAGGCCATAATCTTGAAAGCAATCTATAAGGCGTTTTTCTTCTTTCTTTTTCTGTCCAAACTTATTTAAAATACGTAATATCAAATCATTATCTAAAGAAATACCAAAGATTTCTGTTATTTAAAGCATAAAGTAATACTATTGCATTTTTCATAAAATCTAAGATAATTATACTACAAAATCAAAATCTCATATTGTAGCTCCACTGATCAAATAGGATTTATGTCCAATTTTTTTTTTATTTTAAGCTAATTCACGAAGAAAACCAAAAACTTTTAAGAGAATTTGAACATTATTTAAATTATAACAACAGAATCTCATTTATATATTGATTATTTACCTATTAAAATGTTTACTGCTCAGTTTTCATTGAAATGTAAGATAATAATTCTAATTCCTTTTAATTTTCAAATGACCTTATTAAAACTACCCTACAAAGTTATTTTCTCAAACATAACCATATTATGTTAAACTAAATTAATGAATTTTTTTACAGCATATTATTACAGAAAAACATAATTCATATTTATAAAAATACGTCATATTTTAGAATTTATTTAAATATCTGTTAAATATAATAAAAAATATTGACTCAAAAAATGTTTGAATATATCTAGCAATAAAGTATATACATTAATAAGTTATACACTGCATATCTCAATATACTACACATATTGTGGAATTAATGATATATGGAGGTTTTATACATATAGGAATAAATATAAAGATAAGTTGTTTTTTAAATAGAAATTTTGTGTTCCAAAAATTATTTAAATGTAATATCATTTCTTTAATAGTTTACCTTAATAACAAAGAAATTTAAATTTTCTTATTATTTATAATTAAAAAAAAAATTTTTTGAATATTTTTACGAAGAATTTTAATGGGTCGAAAACAATTAAGAATGAGTAATTATTGAGTTACTAGCATTTTAATACATTTATTTGGTATGTAGTGAGGGTGGACACAGCTTATCCTGATATATATTTAAAATGCATACTACAACCGCGCCCCATAGCCATTGTATGTATTAAAATGCTTTTAACTCAAAAATTGTTTGCCTTAAAATTGTAATGACTTAATAAAACTGTTTGTATGAAAAACGCAAAAAATTGTTTATTCATAAGTTTTAATAAAATCTAAAAATAAAAAACCCAGCACAGTGGAGTCGCGGCATAGTGGGGACGTTGCATAGTTGGGTTCAGTATAGATTTAATCTGACAGTGATTAAAATCACTATCATAAGAAACGCTTCGATGCAAATCAGTAGATAGTGTTTAATTCTAAGAAATTGGTGGATAATTACAAAAGCTGCATGATCTGCTAGTTCCTTATTAATACCCTGATTAAGATAAAGAATGTCGAATGAAAAAGGGATTATTAAAAAATATTATTTCTCATAAAAAAATTGTGTTGATTCATACATTTTTCAATGAGTTGTAGCATTATAAAGTTAAAAATGTAACCAACCCAACCCAACATCAACTCCTATTTCCATAATTATATCCAGATTAGTAATTCGTTTAATTATCTATTATATAATTTTTATAATTAATTATTTTCAAATTATTATCGATTTTTAATATATTAAAAGTAATCATTTTGAACCAACTTCTTTTTGTCCTTTAAAGTGAAAGTTTAAAAAAAAAAAATATGAATTTATTACCATAACTTTTAACTCAACTTGCAAGTTTGAAATAGATATCATTAAATAGAAAAAAATGAAATTGGTAGAGTATTTCAAAAACAACAATAACACTTATTCCCTTAATTTTACTCCGATTTATAATTATAATATATGAATACATAATAATTACAGTAATTAAATTGAGTATGAAAGTGGTATTCAATAATATAATATTGTAATTTTTACGGAGATATTATAAAAATAAAAAGGAGTTGTATATTCATATACTTTTAATGCGTATACAAATTTAAAGGAATTTATGCAATACTTTTTAATAAAAAAATTTTGTTACTTATGAATAAATACACTAAACAAAAGGAACTTTCATCAGAAAAAAAATATACTTTTCTAAATAAACTTTTCGTGATGTTTTCAAATGTGCAATTAAACTTTTTCTATTACTTCTAAGTTTTAATATTATTACTTATTATTAAAAAATAAGTATTTACATATAAAAAAAAATAATTAAGAACAAAAAAAATTGTATTAAATTAATACTGATTTTGATTTTTAATATGTTAAAGGTAATCATTTTGAACCTATTTTTTATTGTCTTTTAAAGTGAAAGTTTTAATGAAAAATACCTTCTCAGCTTCGCATCGAAGCTAAAAAATGAATTTGTTACCATAACTTATAGTTCAACTTGCAAGTTTGAAATTGACATTATTAAATTGAAAAAAATGAAATTTTTAAGATTAATATGCAATCTGGAAATTTTATAATTACTAATTACAGTACATTTGTCAGAAAAATTCGATTTTTTTACATTTTTATCGTAATAGATAACTGAAATAGAAAGAATAGTAATCATATCCTAATAACTTTTGGTGTTTAAAAAAATTCTGCAATTGAAATATTCAGAACTTAATTAATTTTAATAATTTACTTTAATTAAATGAACCAATCAAACCAAAGTAGTTAAAAAGATTTACTCAATTGAGCATATTATCAAAAATATAATTATAATTGTAAAACTCCATCGTTAACTTCAGGTGAAACTAAAAATCATTTTTTTTTTAAATTTATGATTTATATAGCAAAATATTACTAAAAAATTTGGCATATTATAGACTGGTAGTAGCACACAGAAATAGAGTTAAAAAATTAATAAATTATAAAGTAAAATTATTTACTTTTGTAGTTGAATACTTTTATCATATCAAATTTAATTCGACAATAAATAATTTAAGAATATTAAAAATTAATGATTTTAATTGTTTGTATGGACAAATCTAGTTAAGCTACTTTTTATTTGAATAAGGAATATTTTTTTGATTTTTAAGAGTAATAACTTAAACTAATCATTAACTTAAATATCATAAACTTAAATGAATCATTTGACGTATCGTTGAAAAAAGTAGGTCTAGTGAGGGTTGGCAAAATAAATCGTAGCCAGAAAAAGAACCACATAGTAAAATAATATTAACATGAATATCAATTTCTTCTCACGAGGGGAGACTATAGTGATAAGATCCTTTATATTTATTGAAATTATTGAATCTAAATGAGATAAATATCAAATGATTTGAAAATTCTATTCTAACTCAAAAAAAAAATGCAAAATTTTAGAAGCCACAAACGGATTTGAACCTCGTACCCTAGGCGTTAAAGATCAAGGTGTTACCCATTCGGCAACTATTCGTTGATTTTTGTTGCATGATAAAATTGGCTATTTAAGCTAACTCAAATTTAAAAATTACTTTTTCGACTTTAAAAAAGTAAAAAATGTTAATAAGTATAATATCATATGTCTTATGAACTTTATTCTATGTCAATGAAATTATATAATATTCATGAAAGTCAGTTTATTCCCCTAATAAAATATTTTAAAATAAAATAAAATACAAAACCTAGAATTTTAATAAAAAATAGCATATTTTTAAATACGGTAGCCTTTTGCGCATAGAAGATAGGTCGTCGGGACAAATTTTTTTTTTTCATTTAGTAGTACATAAAATAAGCTTTAATTTGATATATGTTTAAAGGACGCAGTATTTCCGGAACATTTTCAAAAATTAAGTTGAAAAAGTTAGTTTTTGTAAAAAAGTTGCTATTTTAAATCCCCCCTGTGAGCAGAATAAGTGTTAGATTTTCAAAAAAAAATGATATCAAATGAAAGAAAATTACCTAAGGTTTCAATATAAAGAAATATTATTTTGATTAGTTAATATTTGAAAAAGTTATGGCAGTTTTAAGTACAAAAAACATCGTTATAAAAGGTGATTTTTATCGCAAATATTACATTTTTTTTATAATTTCGACAGCCATTTGCACATAGAAGATAAGGTGTCGGGACAAATTTTTTTTTTTCATTTTATAGTACATAAAAAAAGCTTTAATTTGATATATGTTTAAAGGACGCAGTATTTCCGGAACATTTTCAAAAGTTCAGTTGAAAAAGTTCTATTTTTTATACAATGTTTCAAAGTTTGAACCCCCCCTATATAAGGGGAAATTGTCTAATTTTAATAAAAAGTATGTCAAATGGAAGATGTACTTATAATGTATTTAGAAAAAAAAAAATTGTGCTGATACATGCATTTTTCGAAAAGTTATAGCATTTTTAAGTTGAAAATTAAAAATTGAAAATCGAAAATTTTAACACAAAAATAGTGTTTTTTTAACTACGGCAACCGTTTACATGCAGAAGATAAAGTGTCGGGACAAATTTTTTTTTTTCATTTTATAGTACATAAAATAAGCTTTAATTTGATATATGTTTAAAGGACGCAGTATTTCCGGAACATTTTCAAAAATTAAGTTGAAAAAGTTAGTTTTTGTAAAAAAGTTGCAATTTTAAATCCCCCCCCATGAGCAGGTTAAGTGTTAAATTTTCAAAAAAATTATATCAAATGAAAGGAAAATATCTAAGGTTTTAGTTTAAAAAAAAATTATGTTGATTTGTTGATTTTTGAAAAAGTTATGGAAGTTTTAAGAAAAAAAAGTGAAAAAAATGACAAAATTTGTCGATTTTTAAATTTGTAATTTTTTTGGATATTTCCCCCATTTGCGGGGAACGAGGGAAAATTTTTAAATTTTTAAGGGTAATGTCTTCAACTAGATACAATTTGTGATCTTTTGACGTATTGTTAAAAGAAATCGGTCCAGTGAGAGCTGAGAAAAAGTAGTGACAGACACAAAAAAATAAAAATAAAAAAATAAACACATCATGGTAAAATTAATACCTTCTCAGCTTCGCATCGAAGCTAAAACATGTATAAATTTTTTTCACCATAATTATAAACTAATAATAAAAAATATGATTTCAACGTAGTCCATGACTATATAAATTATTAAAAATAAAATTATAAAATGTTTAAGAGTTGTCAGTTTAATCTATTCTGTATAAACACGATATACAAAATTAAATTTCAATTACCTGATGTATGTGGTGCAAAAATTTCTAATAACATAGAAATATTGTTTTGTTGAACTAATTCAATATTTCCTTTTCTTTTCAATAAAATTTCTTCATTTTCAACAGAAATATTAAAAAATTGAGACAATACATGTTGAATGGCAAAAAATGAAAATGGATAGTCTTTCTAATAAAAATCGAAGGTAAATTATTAAATGGTTTATGAAAATTATCAAAATAATTTAACCACAATAAAATAATAAATAAAAAAAAGGAGATTAATATAATATCTTAAATTAATTATAACTTTGATACACAGCTGAGAATATAATTGTTTTACTATGAATTTTTATTGACAGATACAATAAACGATTCACATTTATTATATTTGTTAATAAAAATTTGAAGTTTCACAGGACTGTCTTAGTTTAAAAGTTGAAAAAATCTAATTCCAATTTCCAATGCGGAAAATATCAAAAATTACATTTAATTTAAACATTTATAATAATGTAAAATCTTATAATAATAACATTTTTCCAATGATTTTTTATGCATGTTAATGGGAATTCAGCTGAACCGTTTTTAACAATTAATTCTTCAAAATAAAACCCCCGATTTTAATTTAAATGTAACCTTCGTTGGCAAAAAATTGAAAAACCACCTCAATATTAAATTTAGAAAAATATCTCACAATTATAATATTACACGTGTTACCTTGAGATATACAAAATATTACAATTTTATTTTTTAAAAATGTATAGAATTTTATATGCTTAATTTTTATTTTTTAAATCTTACTTTATTCTTTATTTCATTCTTTTTAAATGTATATCAACTTGAGTTTTTTAAATTGAAACATACGAATTTAACTACTTTCGTATTTTTAATACTTGAAAATTATCTAACTAAGAAAAAGACGGATCAATAACAACTTTTGAACCACTATACAAGAAACTATCATTATTTCTATATCTAGACTAGAGGAGTATTATGGTTTAGAAATCCTAATCATAAAAATAATATTACTATCGCCGCACCTTTAGCCTATTTTTTAAATGTTAATTACTGCAAAAATAAAGGTTTAAAAGTTGTTATTAACCAAACATTTTTCTATTAGAAAATTTTTTATGTGAGCATGATTAATATGAATTTTATTATTTAAAATACTTATGTTTAGGATATTTGTTAAAGTTGTAAGAGGAGGAGTAATTTTTTTTCTTTAATTAGTAATTTTAAGAATAAATAATATATCATTTCGTATTTTTGAAAATAATGTTTGTTAAATATTTAGTTTGTCAATCACCTTGTATATTTTAGAATTTTTAATTTTTAAGTATTTTTGCAACATTGCTCTTCATGGAAAAATACATACTTACACATAGCTTATATTAATTAAAAACATAAATATCTTACGTAGTAGGAAACACAGTAGAATGACACGCTCTTTAATATATTCTAAACTAGTGGTTTTTAGGTGTAAGTGAAAAATGAAAAGAAAAAAGGATCATCAGGACTACTTTTATGTATCAGATATATAATAACAATTATATTATTATTTTATTGTTAAAAACCAAAAATGTTACAATAATTATTTTTGTTACATTTTTGGTTATACTTACTATTTTAGTAAGAGTTAAATTTAATTTTATTCAAAAATATTTAAGTCAAAACATGTTTAACTGAAAGATATAATATTTATATATTTGTATAGATAATTATAAATAATATTGATAAAATTATATTATCTATAAATAGATAATATAATTTTTATTTGAATCTTGTTTGTCTATTATAACATACGCTGAAATATATGGGTAAGAAATGGGCATTTAAAAAAAATTGTAATTTGGTGTAACACTACACTGTTGCTTTAGAGAAATTAAGCAGACTAATTAATAGGTCGTTGTAAAAATTAGAAAATAATTTAGATATAAAATAGAATAAAAGGTAAGGAATCAATTTGTGCTTATCATCATTCTAGGTTAAATGAATTCCTCATTAATTTTAAAATTCAAAAGAAGAGACTTATAAAGAATATATAAATAGAGTATTTTAATCCCCTTTTAATTCCTACATATTTTACTGTGCTCTAGTTTTTCTAACTGAAACGGATTTAAAAAAAAAAAACAATCAATATACTTAGTTAAACTATAAAAATTTTAATTTCTCAGATATTTACCAGGTAGTTTTTATGAAATGAATTTAGATTTGGTTACTGTACAAACAAATGACAGCTTACAGTAACATTTTGTAATTAAGTGCACGTCATGTCCCCCTTATGAATTTCCACTACTCTTTCAATTTATATTATCAGTCAGTTGACTTTCTTAATTTTATAATATTCTATTTATCAACTATTTTGATATGTACGTTCTCCTAATAAAATATAGTTAACACCCTTAACCAGTCTGAAAGACTTCTTTAAATTTTGCACTTAGAGTAAGCATAAATTTATAATTTATAAATTTATAAAATACAGTATTTTTTAGTTAATGTAACGAAAAAATGTTAAAAATTAATTTTTTTTTCTTAATATCTGTAATACTTCACCTCATTTGATGGGTTGTAAAAATCTTTTATTGCATTCTTACACTATAAAAAAATAATTAAGTTATCGATTTGACTACCTTTAAAAGTTTATAGTTATTCAGAACTCAATAATTTTATATCTAACATACATTACCACACTAATTAGTATAATAAGATGCATAAGTTTTTAAATTTATACTTATATATATTTAATAAAGCTTTATGAAATTTACTATTTAATTAAATGTGAACTTGGTCCACTAAAAAATTAATTATCAAAATTATGTAAATTGGCATAATACGATAATAGTGATAACTTCATCAGATGATAGATTCACTAATGTTGTATAGATTATTAGGCCAGTCAACGAAGGAGTAATTTTGGCGAATGGCGGAAAAAATTCCCAATCAAATTTTTTTTTTTTTTTAAATTGAATTAAGATATGTGATAATGACATACTAAAAGTCCTCATCGATTGGACTTGAGCTTTTTTTTTTAGTGTCTCGCAAAAGTTCAAAAATATGAGCTTTTTTCATTTTCTCAAAAAATATTTAACTTACAAAAAAAAGTTTCGTACAAGAGTTGTTTAAAAGACAATTTCAGACAAAAAAAATAAATTATATTTTTTTATTTAAACAAATATTTTTCGAGTTGCATTACATTTAATATGAGTACTAAAATTTATTTTCAATTTTTTCATCTTACGGTTACTTTTTATCATGTTATACTTACATTAGACACAATGTTATAAATGCATGTGTGTGTATGTGTGAGTTTATTTATTTATAGTATCATTAAAGTGTAGTGTATAATAAGATACAACCGATAGAGTAGGTAATTGATTTGACGCTATATTGTTTAAACCCAACTAAACGCTAAATTGTACATTCCGAAACAACAATCATATTATGTCAATTGCCACCGGAATANCAACAATTATATTATGTCAATTGCCACCAGAATTTCTGCTAAACTTTTTCTTTTTCTTTGCCTTAATCCCAACTGCTTGGGGTCGGCCACCCTCATCCTAAACTTCCACTTGACACGATCTCCCACATCTTCTACGCTCACATCAGCTGTCATCATATCGCATTCAATAACATCCCTCAATCTCATTTTTGGTCTTCCTCTACCTCTTCTTTCTTCAACATTAATTTCTACAACTGTTCTTACAGCTTCCGATTCTTCTCTTCTCATAACATGACAAATTATCTAAATCTATTTTCTATCAGCTTATCCACGATTGCCGCTACACTTATACTACCTCTTATATGGTCGTTCCTTATTCTATCTTTTCTATTCACTCCACTCATCCAACTAAGCATTTTCATCCCTGCTACACTCATTCTCTGCTCTACTTTCTTATCAACTGCCCAACACTCTGAACCATACATCATAGCTGGTCTCACTACATTGTTGTAGAATTTAACTTTTAGCCTCATTGAAATTCTTTTATCGCATAACACACAGACGCTTCTCTCTATTTCAACCACCCGCACTTAATCCTGTGTCTTACATTCTCGTCAATACCACTGCTCATTTGCACTACTAATCCTAAATACTTAATTTTTCTACCTCCCCATTCACACTCTCGCCTATTGTCATTGATCTCCTCATTTCATAAACCTCATGTTTTCTTTTGTCAACCCAGCCAGAATTTCTGGTATGATAAAATTAATTGTTATAAAACGTATTGGCCTTTCGTCAGGTTCTGGCACTAGTAAAAATTACTGGCCTATTTTTTGTTTTGTTTGGAGTGTTAGTATGTGTTTAGCATGGATAATAGTAACATTGTTCCTGAAATACGTATACGGATTTTTAAGTAGTTTTTTTTTGTGATTTTTGAGATAATTATTTAAAAATTTTTAGTTATATAATAATATTTTTAAAATAATTTTAGTTTAAATTAATTTAACTTAGATTTTAGCTTCGATGCGAAGCGAAGAAGGTATTAATTTTACTATGTTGTGTTTTTTTTTTTTTGTCTGTTGTCACTTTTTCTCAGCTCTCACTGGACTGATTTCTTTCAGTTTCTATAACTTTTTGAAAAATGTATATATCAGCACAAATTATTTTTTCTAAACACATTATAAGTACATCTTTCATTTGACATACTTTTTATTAAAATTGGACAATTTCCCCTTATATAGGGGGCGTTCAAAACTTAAAATATTGTAAAAAACATAGATCTTTTTCAACTTAATTTTTGAAAATTTTCCGGAAATACCGCGTCCTTTAAACATATATAAAATTAAAGCTTATTTTATGTACTACAAAATTTGAAAAAAATATTTGTTCCGACGACCTATCTTCTATACGCAAATGGCTACCATATTGAAAAATATGCTATTTTTGTATGAAAATTATGGGTTTTGTATTTTATTTTAATAGAAGTTGATGTTGCTTTTGCAATTATCCATCAATTTTTTAAAATTAAACACTATCTACAGATTTGCATCGAAGCGTTTCTTATGATAGTGATTTTAATCACTGTCAGATTAAATCTATACTGGACCCTACTATGCAATGTCTCCACTATGCCGTGACCCCACTGTGCTACCGTTTTTTTTAATTGAAATATTCATCTTAACTATTTTTAATATTGAAAAAATACTTAGTTAAAAACAACTGGCCAATAACTACTGTTGAACAATTATTTCAAAAGAAATTATTTGTATATATATGCAAGAAATAGTATGGAACAACATTTGTAATCATAAGTATTATATTAATTACACTTCATACACATTTATTATTAACCAATTATTAAAAATACTAATAGTTGTTATAGATAAGTCATTATTTTAATTAAATATTTTCTATAATATGAACCTTAAATATATACACACTTCTTTACAAAAATTATTGCTGATAATTAATTTAAAAAAATAATTCTATTTAATAATTGTTATACCTCACCTCATCTGAATGAATCACTTCATAGGGTTCATTTTCCTACAAAATAATTTTTTATTAATTATTAATATGGCACTTTGATTCTCTAACAGATTTTCTTCTAGTAAAATAAAGTAACACCCTTCACTAGTCTAAGAAACTTTTTTACATTGTTAAAAAATGTTTTATTGCTTTGTTACACTAAAAAAAAAAAAAAATTAAGTTGTCAATTTGATTGTTTTAAAAAGCTTATAGATATTCAGAACTATATAATTTCATATCTATCTTACATTACTACACTAAATTGTATACCACAATGGATGCGTATTTAAAATTTTACTTATATATTTTTAACTAATGATTTATGAACTTAATATATTTTATTAGTTTTTTAAATATGTATGTCAGTTTCAAAAAAAAATTTATTAGCAAATTAAGGACACAGCAATAACTAATCTGCTATCATCGTTTTTAGTAGAACTTTTCATTAGTAGGTTTGAAAAATATTTAAAAACACTTTAGTGTTTTTCTGAATATTTATGTCAGGTATGCAGATGATATTTTTACAGATATAAACAAATATTTTAATACGGAGGTCTTCATAAAACATCTCAATTATTTTTATGCATGGATTACAAACAGGAAGTAGAGAGAAAATTGCCATTTTTGGACTTATTAGTTCAAAAAGTAGGGGTAACTAAATTTAGATATTTATCGGAAAAACACATGCACGTTCAGGTTTATTCCAAATAACTCAAACGACAACTGGTAACACAAAATGACAACTTTTAACAATGTGGTTTTAAGATAGGTAATACTCTGATGAATGAAATAGATTTTGGTAAAGAACTGACGGTCATAAGAGAAATAGATAGATTTAATGGTTAAACGAAAATATAATTTCAAAATTAGTCCGAACACAAAAGTGAAATTAAGAAAGGAAGGCAGTTCACTCACTAGCATGGGGAATAAAAAGTAATTAGATCATCCATTTTATAGTATCGGGACTTTTAAATGGGCTAGCTAGAATTTTTAAGTATTTTGATATTAGTTTATTGACATTTAAGAGTAATAATTCAAAATATTTATGAAGTAATCCTAAAGATAAGTATAATAAAGGAAAAAATCGGAAAATTATAAAATATAATATGAAAATTGTAATAAATGTTTGTAGAACAAACAAAAAGAAATATAGACGTCATGTTTAATAACACATTTCTTAAACTTCTTTACAAAAATATTGCTGATAATTAAATGAAAAGAATAATTCTCTGTAATATTTGTTACACCTCACCTCATCTGAATAATCAATCACTTCATTGGGTCCAATTTCCTACAAAATAAATTTTTTTAATTATTAATATGACTCTTTGATTCTCAAACAAATTCTCTTCTAACAAAATAAAGTTAACACCCTTCACTAGTTGGAGTAAGTTTTTCACATTGTGAAAAAATTTTTTATTGCCTTGTTACACTACAAAAAAATAATTAAGTTGTCAATTTGACAACCTTAAAAAGTTGTAGATATTTAAAGTTTATAGATATGCAGAATTAATTAATTTCATATCTATCTTACATTACTAATCTAGTAATAAAATAAAATATCTAATTAAAGACAATTGGTCAAAGGCAAGGAATATTATTGAATAAAATGTCTAATCATAAGTATAATATTAATTACACTTCATATACAGTAATTAATAACCAATTATCAAAAATACTAATAGTTATTATCGACCAGTCATTATCTTAATTAAATATTTTCTATAATATGAACCTAAAATATATATACTTCTTTACAAAAATTATTGCTGATAATTAAATTAAAAAAATAATTCTTTTTAATAATTGTTATACCTCACCTCATCTGAATCAGTCACTTCAATGAGATCATATTCCTACAAAATACATTTTTTAATTATTAATATGACTCTTTGATTCTTTAACAGATTTTCTCTAGCAAAATAAAGTTAACACCCTTCACTAGTCCGAGAAACTTTTTCACATTGTGCACTTGGATTGACATTAAATTTTTAATTCATAAATTTATGAAGAATGGATTCACCATTTTGGTTGTTAAACAATAAACTTCCTTTGAATTTGAATCATATTGAAGGCTAAAGTAATTTACTGTACTAATTATATTACAGAGTGATCCATTTAACATTGACCAGCAAATATCTTATCTTATCTAATATGTGTCTTTACGAGCCATCATAACCGCTGCAATTAACTACCTGTATTACAAGTCTACCCGTTTTATACATATATATAGGTAAAAAAAATCAAAACTTTAAAGTGAAATAACATGCAAACTAATCGACTTAAATGAAAAATTCAAACGCTAAAAATTATAAAAAAAAAAACTCTATCAATATATCTAACTAAAAATATATGTTTCCATTTGAAAAAAAAAAGTTGGTACCCTTTTAAGGCATAAGGGATGAACCTAAAAATTATCTGATCATGGATAAATGTAGAGTTTTATGTAACTAAAATAATTAAAAAAAAAAATTATTAAAATAATAAATAGTTTTTGAGATATTTGCTGGTCAATGTTAAATGGATCACCCTGTATATTATAAAAGTAGATTATTATGTGGATAAAATCAGTTACTTCAAGCTACTAAATGTTAGTAATAAATGTATATAAAAATAATAATTTTAAATACTTCATCAAGCGAGTTTATTTTGGGGTTTGGCACCTCAATTGAAAACGTAGGTATGGTAATTAAACACATGAAACAAAGTAATATTCCAAAACGAAAATAAAAATTCATTTTTGATAATGATAATATACGAGTTAATAAAACGTGAAAATAATTTTTATTATTAAATTAATTTAGTTTATATAGTACATTGTATTCTATTTTGATAAATCTAAAATGTTCTAAACTAAATTAATCAATTATCTTGTTTACTGAAATTGTACGTTTATAAAAATTATTTACAAATTATGAGGTAAATTATATGTATTTATTCTCGAATAAAATTTAGTATAAAAATATCAATTCTTTTAAAAAAAATACAGACAATAATTTCAAATTTAATCAAGTGTACAATTTTTCATTGCAATGTTTTTCTAAGCCAAACAGTATAAGATTTTGAACAAAAATTGCTACACAACGATAAATATAAAAAAAATATTATAAACTAAAATAGAAAAATTTAAAATATTTTTAATAATAAAATGTAATAAATATATGGTTCACAGTTGGTACCGAGGTCATCACAATTATAATATAATAAATCATTAGGCATTTTTATTAGCATCTAATAATTATTAGAGGTTATTGTGTGCAAATCATAATTATTGAGATGCGCGCTTACATATACAGAGTGATTTTTTTATCATAACCCACTCAATTACTTGCAGAATAATAATAATTTAAACATTTTTTTTTTTTATTATCTTTAGTTACACATTATTCTTGAATTTTTAACTATGTAATACTTTTTAAGTTCATCCCTTATGCCTTGGAGGGGGGTCAACTTTGTTTTTTTAAATGGTAACACATATTTTTAATTTAATAAAATGTTTGAGTTTTTAATTTAATAGTAAATGGCATTTGAATTTTTAATATAACTTTATTAGCTTATTAGATATAAACATTTAAAGTTTCAAAATTTTGAGTTAATATACATGTATAATACACATGGGATTGTAAATACAGGTAGCTAATTGGATTTTTATGACATTGCTGTCTCAGTCACGGATTGTTTATTATCAATTATGATTATCAATAGATATACTTTCTGTATTGTCAGTTAGTGTATTTATAAACTCATAACAATGTGCCTTACTACAATTGATAATAACAATGCTGTGTACCTGCTAATATCGATGTTATAAAAAACCAATTAGCTACCTATATTTGTAATCCCTTGTGTATTATACCTGTATATTAATTCAAAAATTTGAAACTTTAAATGATTATATCTAATAAACTAATTAAGTTATATTAAAAATTCAAATACCATTTACTATTAAATTAAAAACTCAAACATTTTATTAAATTAAAAATATGTGTTACCATTTAAAAAAACAAAGTTGTCCCCCCTCCAAGGCATAAGGGATGAACTTAAAAAGTATTACATAGTTAAAAATTCAAGAATAATGTGTAACTAAAGATAATAAAAAAAAAAAATGTTTAAATTATTATTATTCTGCAAGTAATTGAGTGGGTTATGATAAAAAAATCACCCTGTATATGTAGTCCGAATATAAACTATGTGTATGGACTTGAAAAAAAAATTTGAATATCATCTTTGGATAAGTCTGTAAAAAACATCAAGTTATGTATTTAAATCACACTCACAGACAAAAAAATATCATCATTTACGTGAATGATTTTCCCAAAATAATGTCAACAAGTTCTTTCATTAAAATAATTTTTCAAGAATTGACAAATTATTCAATATTCATTAAATAATAAAAATCTTCTTTTATCTATTATTATATTATTTCTTATTATTAATTGGTATTTTCAATTCATTATAACAGAATTGAAAAAATAAAAGTGTTATTATTAAACAAAACACATTTTTAAAGCTAGTAATCGTTAAAAATAAACTTATTTTTACATAGTTGAAAAAAATATTAAATTAATAGGAGGTTATAAATTTATTTAAAATAAACTTAATCACTGGCAGAAAAACATAAATTAAATTTATATAAGTATAAAAAATATATTTCATAGTTGTAAATAAATTTTAAAGCTGATAGAATAAAAATGTCATCCTTGAAATAATGTACGATACAAAACACGTCATTGAAATCAATAGAAATAATTATTTAAACTTTAACTAAAATTAAATAGATGTATAATTTTTTTAATTTACAGATAATAATTTAAAATTCAATAATACCGTAATTAATATAATTCTAAATTCCTTTACGTCCTAATGATATTTTAAAAAAACACGTTATTTTTGACATAAATAGTGTAATTTTGATATATATTATTAAAAATTCAAACATAAATATGACATTTTCATCATTACTTATCCAGATTTCCCCTTACTTTGTATGAATTAAGAAATTCAAATAATTTGTATTTAAGAATTCAAGTCTNTTTCCCCTTACTTTGTATGAATTAAGAAATTCAAATAATTTGTATTTAAGAATTCAAGTCTCTCCAATACTTCACTTTATCTTCATACATATGTGTAAATAAATTCACAAAATAATAGTTTGAACTATAACTAAGCAGTATTTAATTCATCTAAGAAAAATATATTTAACAATTTAGTAAACTGATAATAACATAAAAAATCTCTACGGATTAATATAGTTATAAGAATCCTCTATGGAATTTCACTATTAATTACAAAACTTATTTTTTTTCAAAATTAAGTTTTTCTACATACTCTTTTATGATGGTGTCTTTCTTATTAATATAGCCATCAAGAAGAACTTTTTTAAAATTTACGTCATCCGTTTTGAATTGTGGAGATGTATTTACAAAAAATATTTTTATACTAACATCCTCATCATATAAGGAAATACTAAAATATTTATTTTAATTTAGAACATCAATCTGCTTGTCAAAATAAAAATAAAGCATAATAAAATATGATTACTACCTCTTTCCTTAACTATTCTTATAATATATACTGAGTGATTGATTAAGCAATAGACACTCACTTCCTACTAGCTAAAATTTTTTTTAATTTTCGTAAAGAAAAAATATGTTTAATTGAATAATCTCAACAATACATGCCAATCTATTTAATCAATGATTTTTTTTTTTAATAATATATGTTTTCAAATTGTCAAAAATAATTTTTTTTTTCAAATTTTTTCAATAAAAATTTTATATGAAGAGTACAGAAAATAAATGGTAGTAGTCTATTTTTTATTCAATTTTTATTTTCTTGTTTAATTCAATAATCTATTAGCAGTAGTAACGATAATTTTATTGTTATTAATTTGGTGAAAAATTATTTAATTTTACTAATATTTAAGTATTTTTTTTTTTTATTAAAGAAATGAGGTGGTGTAGCGCGGTGGACACACTAGATGTTAACAAAACTCTAGTATTAAGCCACGCCTGTCGCCGTTGATTTTAGAAATACCAGTTCCTCACAGGTATCTGGTAACGACAAGGCAAGGCCTTTAGTAGAAAAAAAAATAAATTAAAGAAATAAGACAATATAGTTTTGTTTTTAATCTCCTGAAAAAATTACATAAATTGACTATTACCATTTTCCGTTNAAAATAAATTAAAGAAATAAGACAATATAGTTTTGTTTTTAATCTCCTGAAAAAATTACATAAATTGACTATTACCATTTTCCGTTTAAAAGACTAAGAAGATATATCGAAAGAAAGATGCTGGAGGATGACCGATTAGAGAACACTAATGTGTATGGACGTGTAATCCGGTAACCACAGTCAGTGAATCTATGAGCGCATAATGATTTTAATATGTGAATATGACAAAATGCCGGAGTAACAACAGGATACTATAGTGTAAAATGTATTAAGAATATGCGTGCCTGCTATTTTATTAAATTCTCTCGGGGTAAGGTATGAAAATACGTATTCTGACGTTGACAAAACACGTTTGTTCCTAAAATCCTATCTATTTTTTCGCTTTATTACTTTCATTAAAAATTATTAAACACTCGTATAAAAACTTGATACATATTATAGATGCAAATAGTGTTCTGAACTTGGAAGTACTTAAAGTACTAGAGGTACAAACATATTTTCCTAACTCCACTCAAATTAATGTACCTACCTTGTTTTTATCTATTTATAAATAAAAAACATTATATACTTCATTCACCTTTCCCTAATACTGTATTATTTCAACTATAATTGTCGAAACCAAAACATATTACTATAAAGTATAAGTAAATTATACTGGAGTTAATGTACACACTTACAAATTTACAATTATCTATAACATTAAACATTTTTTTACTACTACTGTGGTATCTTAATAATTATTGTTGAAATCAAAACATATTTCTATGTACTATATTTCTATATACTATACTAAATGTACTATATTTCACTTTGTATTTTTAATACATACACAATGATATAAAAATTTATTATATTTTTGTGTAAAATAAATTTAAAAATTTAGTGTTGTAATGTGACTTTTATTGCAAGATTCTGTTAGTTATCATCTGGTATGTAATAAATAAGGTACACTTTACGCAATGTATACCTTATTTATCAAACGATATAATTATAAGTTCTTCTTCATCCATGATACAGGAAACGAAAAACCTTTTAATGTTTCAGCAATATAGAATAAAAGGGAACAAACACAATTTCTAATACAGAAATTCGTAGCTGCGTCAGGTTGGCGTAAAACAAATGCACGAGACGCAGTTTATTTTATTCAAGCAACAGTTGAAGCTTTATGTCTTATTATAAATAAGTGTTCAGTACATAGTTTCATGTACATTACAAATGTCACGTGTAATTTTAACTTTTAATGTAGCAAAACATAAATTGAGTACTCGTATATATTAAAAGCATTAATAATTACCTAGTAAAAAATCGTAAAATAATGATTAAAATAAAATAAAAAACTCTATACAGCGTAGTAGAAGACAACTGAATAAATGAAATATATATTTTGAGTTATAAACAAAAAACTCGGTAACACCGTTTTCAAACCGTTCAACGTGTCATGTGGTGATATAAACGTACGGTGCAACCTTCCTAGTGTACTGGGGCCCTGAGTGTTCTATAGTCAATAGGAATGATTAGAAAAACGATTTTCTAATCGAATTTTAAATAAACGAAATCGTTACACAAAATCTGTGACTGTTTTTTATGTGTAAAAGATTTT